TCTGTGCTAAAGAGTGGAAAAGAACCTTGTCTATTTAATATTTTTTTATCAGTAAGATATTCATACCTTTTATTATTTTTGTTATCATTCTTTGTGTCCTGTTTAATTCCATTAAATGCTTCTTTCGGATGGGAATGGGAGGGAGAGAAGCAGAAATTAATTCCTTATTGCAGAAGTGGCTGCACCAGGCATTTTTGCCAAATGCTTCCTCTCCTTTTCCATGGCCACTGATACTTTGCACACAGATGGACAAATAGACATTACAGATGAGAACCATTACACCTGATCTCCCAGCACCATTAGTTTAACTGGAGCAGTTTAACTTGTGCAGCTGCAAATTCATGCTTTACACTATGGTAAATTATAGGAAAGCTTAGCTATCTACCATGAAAATGCAAGTTAAAATAGCAATTATACAGTACATTCTCAAGCACTGTCCACAGATAAAACCAGCTGCGTCATTTTGGAATCTTCCATCCAGTTCATCCATTTCTATTGGAAATCAATGCTCACTTCGCAAAGCAACAGCAGTGGAAGCCAATCTTGTGAGATACATGATGAGAAAAGCAAAACTCAGAAAAGCTAATCACTTGAGAGCAATTTATGTAACAGCTCTCAAAATTAACGCATTCAGTGGTAAGAAAGAGCTGAATTTAAGGAGCCTTTCTTTCAGAAGACTGGGAGGATGCATTAAAAATATAAACTCCTATAATGTGGCCTGTAAAGAAAAAGCCAGCTTGGATCTGATGAAACATGCTTGGACTCCTGGTAGTATTCGAATTCTACTAAGTGTCAAAATGAACGTGAACATGACTTAACTACTTGGACAACCTCAGACTGGTAAATTAATGCTATTTGATTTATTGACAGATTCTTGTGATCAGATTTTTGATTTAAAATTTACATAGTCATTTATATTGGAGTAAGAAACACTTCCATCCTGACTCGTGCTGGCATAAATTGTGATGTGTAGCTTACAGATGTTAAAGTAAACGATTCAATTTAGTTTGAGGAACTGGTAAGAGTATAATTTATATGAGCAGGTTTAGGTAATAAGAAACAAACCTGGCAAAGCAGGAATCACTCCCTGGTAATTTAATCTTATTTTTAGCAGGTATTAGACATACTCTTAAGTGTTGTCTTGTGCTGTTGCCTTGTACCCACATGCTGTGTCCTCTTTGACAGTGACAGAAATGGCACTAATGAGAATTCTTGAATTCTTCTGTTCAGACAGCAGTCAGATACCAGTGTTGACCACTTTACATGGGATGGGATGAGAGGAGAAAGGTTCAGAGCTATTTCCATTTGCATTATCGTGTATCTAACAGATTAGTCCTAAGTATCTACATGTCAGATATTTCTGACCTGTTATATTTGCCGCTGGGAAGGAAATCCCATAATCTGGCACAAGAAATGACTGATAATAACATCCGTGCTGTAGAAGCAAGGGAACAGCCTTCTTGTCAATGAGTAAAGTACAGTCAGCCCTGCCAGCTCACAGCAACACGAAAATAAAAGCTAGAAAGGATTTGCAGACTCACGGGTGATACCTACAAGTTCTAGAGATTTCTGACATTCTGTAATTGCATGAAGAATTCCGTTCTGTGTCATAAGGGCAACTTCACTGAATAAAAAGCAACCTGTGCCTGGAACACTTAATGAGTAGAAAACAATAATGTCAGGAACAAAGTAGAGAGATTTACTGCAGACACAGCAGGTTTGCCCTTTCATTCATTAGTTTTTCATAACATTTCATTACTAACCATTCCAGAAGAAAGTAGTTTATTTTTTTTTCTCTGATGCGAATACCAAATACCATAGTCATAGACATAAGGAAGAAATTGTTCCAAATAAATATTTGTGGAAAGATCTCTCACAGCTTGATAATAAATTTAAACATCGTAATTCCTGTTTAAAGGGCTTCACAAAGGGTATTACTGCCACCGGAATAAGCATCTCCAGGGAAAGCAGGATTGAAAACATAATCTGGAAGGAGATTAAATATAACATATTCAGTTTATTTAATGGATAAATATTAACATATTTGTGCACATAACTGGGAACAAGGCACTTATTCAGGTTAGTATAAACAAGGCCACTTGTTAAGTAGAAAGGAAAACGTTAATAAGCCTTCAAAACATTTTGCTGAAATCCCAAACCTTGAAGCCACAATACAAAAAGGCATGCAGTTACAGATGCATTTATATTCACTGAATTACATATATAAAAAAAGTTGCTTAAGAACAGGACAAATCCAGCAGGCCTTACTGAAAACATTGCTATGTTTTACCCCAGACACAGGAATGCACCCATGAATCTCACTTATTCTTCTCTAGTTTTTCAATGTTCATTTTGTCGTTATCTTTGTGATCATAACATTATACTATTATTTGATATAAACCTTAGAAAAATATTCGTCTGATAATCCCCCATCAGCCTAAGTATTTTCCAGAGGTATAATCACATGCTATTCAAAGCAGTTATCAATTTGTCTAGTGGGCTCAAAATTTGGTTTGTAGAACACATGGGTTTTGATGTGATTTCATAAGAAAAAAAAAAAGATACCTGCAAGTAACTTTGTGGTTATTTCAGTTAATTACATTTTAAAAGCAGAAAAATATCTCTACTGATAAACACCTAATTTCTGTACTTATTATATATATATTTTTAAAAGATCTTCTCTGCTTATACAAAACAGGAATTTTATAAATATTAAAATGTTCTATTATTTACATGTGTCCCATTTTACTGTAGAATCTTTAACTGCTCTTATCTAAATACGCAGGTTCTAGGAGACAAATGCATTTCTCATAATCACAATGATTTGGAATAAAGGCACAAAGGCAAATTGCATGCTAGGTTACAATTGCAATTTACCTAGTTCTGACCTTCAACTTAATATAAAAATATCTGTGGATTAACTCTTTCATCAACCTTGCACACATAACACATGGATCACAACAGCAGGAACTTCATTAAAAGAACATATTAATGTCAGCTGACCATGGAAAAAGCCTAATGTATTGGCACATCTTGCAGAAAATTGTTTCATCATAGAACTCAGGTTAATTAAAATAAAAGATGATGGCGTGCATAATTGCATGATTGCAATGAAATTTGACTATTGAAAACATCTTTCAGTTAAGCAGGCCCAATTACAGAAAACACAGAAAAGAGAGGATAGATTCTAACCCGATTCATGTGGTGGAAAACTGATGAAATCTAACGAAATGGATGACATCACAACTATACAAACCCAGAACAAAAGGTTATCAGAACACATCCCTCTGTGGATATATTCATGCTTTACCAGGAACTGTAGCACAGACATTCCCAAGCTAGTAAAGCCCAACATTTCTGACCTCTATTGACAGTTGTGCAGAATTACAAGGTCAGCATTTTACAATCAGGCTACTAAGTCTTTTGGCTGGACTTTTTAGTTCAGATGCAGAATTGCGTGGATGGCTACAGTGCTTCCAAGGTGGCTTGTGTCCAGCTAACTCAGGTCTTTGCATCATGGTCCTCAGCCTGCCAAATGCTGAGCTGCAGCTGCAGATAGTTTAGGGCCTGCCTGACCCCAGCACCACGGGTGGTGGAAGGAAACAGCGTGTTAGCAACGGGCTCAGCAGCCTGACTCAGATTCTGTATCGTTCATATGGTTTAACTCCTGGAATTGAAGGGACTTACACATAATTCTAGCATGACAAACGGGACAATCTTGAAGATTACACAGCTTTTGTGGGCAAGCATTTGGCAGGGTATTTTGGGGAGAGAATAGGTCCTGTCTGGGTAAGATCTGACACAGAGCACCTCTGCTACGAACTTCTGTAGAATACCATTTTATCATATTACCTAAGTCAAGACAGAAAATCAGAATAACTCCTTCAAAAGCAATTATTAATTGAAAAAGCCCTGCAGTCACCCAGCATGTTTGTCGTCAGGTACTGTGATTACACCATAATAAATACTACCTGATTCCAATTCTATTTTTTTTTTTTTTTACTTTGCTGCCATTTAATATGACAACTGACATCACATGCTGGATCCAGGATCATGACTCCTAGGCTCAGTTCAGGCAGAACTTCGTCCTCTCTATTCTGAATCTAACTCTATCCTCTTCCCTACATACTGAAATACTAATACTCGTATTTCCCAGCTGTGAGTATGCACTGGCAAATATAATTTACCTTACAAAATTTCTGTGATGCATCATAAACTTAAGAAGACATAACTACCCAGTTTCTGTGAAAAACAAGATTTCTCCAGGATTTGTTGTATTCTTTGGCTTTATATAGACATAAATAAGAGAAAAATAAGGAAAAAAAAACTCCCATTGAATAGTTGAGTAAGAATCTGTGGCAAAGAGCATGTATTGCATCCTGTTACATGCATCTGATTATCCTGTTGCACTGTCTAATCTGACTGTCTTTTGGAAAAGTTCAGTTAAGCATAAATGAAAAAAAAAGCAAAGCACTAGTATATTTTATGAGAAATCGAAAGCTTAACAGAGTGAGGAGTCAACACTGAGGCATTTTATCACCTTTCAGATTAATTGCAAACATTGAGTTCTTTGTGAGAAACAGTACAAAATTTAACTGAGGAGTGTAAGCATTTCTCAAGTATTCTCCATTTTAGAAGAAAAAGACTTCATTTTTTTACAGACAAGGTCAATAGCACCTTTGGATAGTTTCTTCTTTTTTGAAATGTAAGAAAGAAGTTACAAAAACAAAATAAAAACCTCTCCCTCACAACGCACTTCCTTGAATTGCTTCTTAGCATTAGTGCATGCTGTAAGGAGGATGTCAGGATTACCTCTCGCGCAAAGCGGGAGGTTCCGCATGGATTCCTCCTCTTTTGTTGGTAACGGCAGTAAGAGTCCAGGATAAAAAAAATTCAAGTAGACCTAGACACATATGAACAGTCATGGTGATCTGCTGCTGACAAAGTGCAGTTCTGTTTGAGGCACTCTAGAGATTGGCTTGAATCCCACGGACTTGGAATCAAACCTCCGAGCTGTCGCTGGGACAATTATACGGCAGCATCATTGGTTCACTGCTTCCTGACTCCTTCGTAGCGTCTTTCTTCTCAGAACTTTGTCTCCTTTTTAGCAGCAAAATTATGATTGCAACTAAGCAAATGGCAAGCAAAACCGCAGCAGTGCCACCAGTGACTGTGACGATGCTGACCTCCGGGCTTGGGTTACTCAGCTCCCTGGGGAGAACGCCATTGACCACGACCTCCCTTGGAGGCACCTGCTTCTTGTTGGCGCGGTCCAGGGCTACGTGCTGTATGTTTGTTCCTCGTTTCTTTTCTGCACCAATATCTTTTGCAAGCTCTGGAGCTCCTTCAACATCCCTCTTCTGCCGCCTCCGCGCAGCTGCTCCCGGGCTCCCAGCACTGGACACAGAGTGGTACTGGTGCTCCACGCTTCTCTTGCCAATCCCACGGTTAGCATTCTCCTTGGAGCGTACAGTGTAGATTGTGTGGACATACCACTCCCTACCCAAGGATACCTGGAAAGACACAGTATTTTGTTTCTAAAAACAATCATACATAGGAATATGGACAGCAATATAAACAATGGAAATCAATCATTGCTTCTTATCGATAGCCTGGACAGTATTTTCAAGATCTTTCCCAGAAGAGTCAGTTTTTCTGACTTAAGATTAAGAGAAGGGAGAATTTTTGAAATCTTTTTTACGCTGGTAAGTAGGCTGTTCTCTTAAATGTTCCTTTCTTTACAGTGGTTTGTTAACAATACTGAAATGGCCTGCAGTAGGAATAAAGAGTCTTCAGTGTTTCTTCCCGTAATTTGCAATTCTGAGTTTTGCAAACACTGAAGAGACAAAGAAACTACTGACTGGGTCATATAGATCAAAAGGATGAAAACAAACAGATAAGAAATTATATGGAATTCAGAAATAAGTTCACCCTTTACTTTTCTATTTCTAGGCTTTCCAGTGCTCAGATGTTTTGGAATATACAAGTTTGTGAGAAAATACTCGCACAGAAAATACTGGATATCAAGTAAATTGGAGTGAAGTACACTACTAATATTGATTTTTTAATTTATTTTTTGACTTTGACAAGCGAGATGGAAAGCAGTAAAAACAAGAAACTTAAAAGTTAAGACCTTAAAAGAAATGCATAGGCATCACTTGCATCATTTCTTGTTAGACTATGGAAACAATGAAAGAAAAGCTTATTACCTGCATGTGTAGGAATCTTTCACTAGTGCTTCAAGTACACCTAGAAAACTTAGAGGATTTATGATTCTGCCTGAAATCAAAAGTAATTTCCTATTATTTTCAACATGACAGTTAGCTTTTAAAGCTCCTGTGTGGAAGTGTTCTTGAGAAAGAGATCTTGGTGCAGTATTCCAAGCACTAACCTACAGAAACGTTACCTGAAATAGGGGAGTGGAATCCATTTTAAAGCCATCAGAGCCTGGTTGTTTAACTAGAGGAATTGCTTCAGGGTCATCTACAGCAAGTTTTGCATTAAAAAGCACATTTCCAAAGCTTGTGGCTTGTGTCTCTGGCTGAGCTTTGTCCTGCATGATAGTGGAAATAAAAAAAAACAAAACCAACCAACCAAACAAAAAATCAACAATTATAAAAAGCATGTTCATTTCTTTCAGGGAAACAAGTTCTAATATTTATACAAAATATATATTTCTAGGAGTGCAATTGACGTGGTATATTTTGCAATCCAATGTACTACTACAAACAAAAAAAACATTTGAGAAGCAACTGTGGTCACATCTGACTTGTACTAACTTCTAACAAATCTCTTGCTTGGAGATTTTTTTTTTAAGAAATAAAAAGGAAAAGAAATCTAGAGAACAGCCACAGCCATGTTTGTATATGGTCTGAAATAGAAGTCAGAAATTAATTTCCCAGTTTAAAGATTTTACCTTTCATTTGTAGTAAACAGATCAAACAAATCATCTGTGCTGTCTTAGATATTGTAAGCTAGCTTCTAAATGACTACTGACTCGGAAGTCTAACTTTATATTATGCACTCGTTTTTTGAGTAAGTTTTAGGTAGATGAGACAAATTCCATCTAGCCTACACACCCATTTTACTGGCTCATATTCTTAGGCCTTCTTTATGATCAATGAAGACAGGAAATGCAGAGGAAAAGTTTATTTGGGGATTCTAATTCAAGTCAAATACTAGATGATGAGAGCCCCCAGAGAGATGAAGAATATAACAAGGAGGCAGAAAGGTAAGGTACTACCTTTACCAGCACATGCTAGACTAGAACTGGTCTAGCACCTGATTCTGACTAGTGCTGTCAAGGACATTTTAAAAGAAGTTGGTTGTGGATAACAAAGAAAATAAGTAAATTAAAACAAAACAAAACAAAACCCCAAAAGGTACATCTTCTCAGAATTAGAAAACTTGCCACAATCTTAAATCTGTACAGAAGGGATGGAGAATCGGCGAGGCAACCATATTCAGTGTTGGATGGATTATACTTGGGTACATATCCGTCAGCTCCTGTGCACAGGAAAACCTTTTCGATGCTACAGTAGAAGGAGTCACCCAGATTCTGCACTGGATCCACCATCACCCGACCATATATGATATCACCTGGAAACAAGTACAGTTCACACACTGTAATATGTAGCACAGTATTAAGGCCAAATTAATTAATCTAGGGAAGAAGCTCAGTGCAGAGCAATGCGGCTGTAATTTCTGGTCATCTCAAAGATCCAAAGTGAAGATTCTCAAATGGGCTCACAGCTATATACAAAAGCTACTTGTGACATCTGGTTATAAAGCTTCTATTTTAAGGATTTGCCAAAGGCCATGAGTGTACTCTCTTCCACAAACTCTGGGTCACAGGACAGTCGTAGATGGTCATTCAGTGTTGCTATAATCTAAGCCAGTTCAGAGGTAGTACCAAATTCTGCAGTTTATTGGGAGCTTCAATCAAAATTGACTTAAAACTACGTTTTCTACCCCTCTACAATAGAGTAGGATGCAGGTTTTGTTCTCCTGATAATGTGCCTTGTTGAAGAGATGTAATTATTTATGTCACAGAACTCTACTCAGAGAGCATAAAGGTTTGGTTATACCTGGTCAGATTGGCAACATTTAATACAAATGGCATGAGTGACAGGTCACAGGCACATTTATTGAGATTTCGGTCCTTACTGTGAGTTTGAAGTTCTGCTGGCTGTTAAGATTTAAGAAAAACATGCTTGCGAGGCCTATACAAATAACCTAGACCAGTACTACATGGGCAGGAAATGATACCATGTGCTGTGGTCAAACACATACAACAGAAAATAGTTAGGAAGGCTGAGAATTTTGAGAAAAAAAAAGTGAGGCATTAGTTTAACAACTATTTATAGCAACTGTGGACTTTGAGAGAGACCAGGCCTCTGCTGTTCAAGGGACCAGGCAAACAAGTCACAAAAGAAAACCACAGATTCAAGGTCCTGACATTCTAAATGAAGCACATGAAGAAAACAAGAATTGAAGAGATTGCTTAAGGTCAAGCAACAAATCACTGATAGATGCATCAACCGAACCTAGGCTTCAGTTCACTGTTTCACACTGTTTTTTTTTAAACAACCTCTTCTGAGTCTGAACACAGTATTAAGCAAGAAATTCTGAGTATTCATCTCAATTTTGACTTTGGTTTCTGTTGTGCAAATTTATCTTCCTCACACACAATAAAAAGATTGTATAACAGCAACTTAGCAACTGCAACTGTTTTTAGCATCAGCGAAACTAATGTTCATGAAGTTTTCAGCACATGAGAAATGGAACCAGTGTTGCAAACTTCAGACATAACAGTTCGAATGCAAATTGGTCAACAGCTCTTATGTAAAACGCAAAGGAGAAAATGCACATACAAAAGAACTCAAACATCAAGTCAAACCCTTACTACTAGCTCGCTTTGATTGAAACAGGATCCTGACAGTGTGGACTGCATTAAATATCTATGATCTTGCACAATTATACCTTCTGCAAAAGCAACATCACTTTCTTGCCCAAAGCCCATTGAGCCATCAGATAGCCACAGGGTCTTCTTGGAAAGGAGAAACATCTGGGTATTCAAGCTGAACTCAGCAGCCACAGGGTCACTGACCTAAAACACAGTAGCATAACGCTCTTCAACGTGCATTCTTTAATAACTCTTAAAATACAGCACGGTCTTCTACTCATGTGCTCTATTCATCAGTTTTGCATACCTAAATGTAATAATAGTTTAAATAAAAGAGAATTATTTGTACTTGGTATATATTCAACATTTTTCATGTATATAGGTTTGTATGATGGGAGGATTGGTTGGGTAGAAGAGAGGGAAGAGGGGAGAGCAGTGGATGTTGCATTCCTTGACTTCAGCAGGGCTTTTAACACTGTTTCCCATAGCATCCTCCTAGGCAAGCTCAGGAAGTGTGACCTAGAGAAGTGGACAGTGAGATGTATTGATAACTGGCGGGATGGCAGAGCTCTGAATGTCATGATCAGAGGCACAGAATTTAGCCTGTAGCTAAAGGAAAGAACATAAGGGAAAGAACATAGTGGGCAGGAGTACTGGGGAGAGCCCAGAGCCAAGAACAAGAGGCCTCCAAAGACATATATATACACATGTTTATGCATAAAAAGGTATATATGTGTGGGTAAAAAGAAAAGGAAACATAAAGGAAAATATTCTTGCTGAGTCATGGACAAGGGAATGATGAAATGAGATATAACAAGACCAACAGAAGCTACTGCTAAAAGTTATTCACCTGTCATGCTTATTTGAATCCATTTTCCATAGTAGAGTCCCCAAAATATAAAGCAAAAATGTTACGCACCACGAATATATAGCTGAAATGATTTTTATAGACTCACTGCTTCTCTTTGCAGAGAGGAACACTACGCCCATAGCCTCTTCACAGAAATAACAATCATCATCATCATCATTTCTAATCTGTTTGGAATGCTTCCTTCTAAATGCCTGGATTCAGGCTATTGGATTACAAGTCCCACAGCTTCAAACACCTGACACAGCTGGCTTGCTACCAGATGTGGTTTTGAAAGAAAGGCAAGCAGGGCCTCACCGAGGAAGCAAAAAGTGCATATTCATCCATGAGCACTGGACTTGAGCCATGCTGTTTACAGCAATGGCAAGAGCAGTGGCCTGGGTAAATATTACACAAATCCTGTGAATGTGTCTCTTAGGCATCCTGTTTTAACTTACTATTTTTATTTCAGTTTCATATGTGAGCCTCTGTGCTACCAGTGCTGACTCATAGTGGCAATGTACTTAAATATATTTATTTTTTATGCACAATTGAGATATTGTAAATGAGTTATTGGAAACATAACCCATTAGGATTTGTTGGGTGAGAGGAGGAGTGTCAACTCTTTCTACCTATTTGCTATGGGCATCAATTTTGCATATGGACAGTTAGGGATTATACAGATCACTGATGGTGGACATCCCTCCCTCCATAGAACTATAGTGCATGAGATACATGGTACCTCAAGAAGCAGAGCCCTGGAGGTATGTCCATCTCTGTGCAGCACAGATCCTGATTATAGAGCTGCTTCCTTCTGGAAATAGCTATGGGCATTTAGGAGACACTGAAAGGAGTGGGATAAAGCAGATAAAGCAGAGCTGCAAGGTTGAATGCTGTGAATGTGCAAAGCTTCTGAGAACAAGGACAATGACAGTGCAGTACTCACTGGTGTTTCTTCCCTCTTCTGGAGCCAGAGAGAGGAAAAAAGAGATGGGTATATGTATGTTAAAGGGTATGATAAAACAAAATCTCCAGGGGAGAGACCCCTCTGATGTTTGCTTTTTAAAATGGCCATTCACTCATATACAGTGAAAGCTGCGAAGGAAGTTAGAATGAAAAGTTTCCAAGAAAATGAAAAGTCTAATATTAAAAAGCTGTTCTCTGATCTTTGTGTAAGATAAAAACATTCTGATAACAGCTTTATATTTGCTTTATTCTGTAATAAAACTACGTCACAGCAAATTTGATAATGATTCTGAAATTGCAAGTGATTAGTTCACATTACAGTAACATCCAAAATGGTATCAATGAGCTTCCTCACTGGCTGTCAATGAAGAATGGTCAAAGACTGCCCAGGCATACAGGACAGAACATGTTGGTACTCCTACATTAGCCCTTCCAGTGTGATTAAATTGGTAAAATATGTACAGAGAATATGTACAGTTCTCATCCATTAGAACTTAGGTTTGTTGATGAGCATGCAAATTCAGTTTCTAACACTATCAATATGGACCACCAAGGGCAATTTGAGTATTAAAATAAAAAGTAAACATGACAAAGGTAACACTGAGATGGTACCTGCTGGAATCGGATATCCAGATCAAATGTGATGGGCTCTCGGGGATTGCATATCACCGGCAGGCTGTACTCCTGATGTGGAGCCGTGGTACAAGCTATCAGCTTCACAGTGTAGGTTCCAGAATAGTCACGAACCTGGAGAGAGAGAGACAGAGGCATGGCTGTTCCAGCAACATCCTAAATATCAACCTGGGGTAAAAGAAGACACAGAAGGTGAATACTGAGGTTTTACCGCAAAATCTGAAACAAAGCTCCACTGCTGTCTGGGCTGATTGTATGTTGGCTCACTTCGGATGAGGCTGAGGCTAAATGTCAGGCCTGGGTGATCGGCTGACAGGACCATTGAAGTCAGAGGTGAAGCTAGAAACATGCCAAAAGACAGGTTTGTCAGCTTTAATATTTAGCTGCAGATTCCCAGAGTCTGAAAAAAAAATCCCAATAATTCATAAACCAAATTCAATATTAATACCTTTACATGGCACTGGGTTTTATTAACTGAAACTAACAAAGCCAACTGCAATCAACATAGCCGCATCTCCTTAACTCTTGTTTAGGTGTCTATGAAAAAGTTACTTCTGGGCAATACAAACTGTGTGTAGATTAAATGCAACAGAAAGTAAAATAGGAGGAGTGCAATGGCAAAGATCTATAAAATCCCACCTATTTTTAACTTATCTGAACTTATCTGAACACAGAGAACATAAAATAATTTCTCTCAGAAGTGTAATTCTTTCAGCTCTGCATCATATGGAAAATCTAACATGCTAAAAAACCGTTGTTAAAAAATGGAATCACTGTGAAGGAGTTTTGTGGGTCAATAAAATCAAGTTAAATTAGGTGAGATTTCTTAAAATTATTTTTACCTTCCCTTTATGGTTCAGCAAATTTAATTTAGATAAAGTTTTCCAATGCCAGCATTCATGCTCAGACATATGTCTATAGACAGTCTTACACCTGTGATTATTCTGAACAAAGCCAGTGGAGTTTAAATGGGTTAAATTGCAGGAGCAGGTCTTTGGCAAGGACTAACTGAATGGCACCTTTTTTCAACAATGATACAATGATCCTACAAGAGCATTTTTTACTCTTGGAAACAGGATAAATAACATAAAAAGGCTGCAAGTTATAAAGGAAATTTTAATTCTAACTAAGTCCAGTGGGGAACATAAACAGACAGGTAATTCTAGCCTTTGGATTAAAACTGTATGTTTATAGATCCCTGTGGGACAGAATGGCCTAGATCTTCACTTTTCATAAATCAGTCTCAGCTTTGCATCAGATTCAGATATATTTCATTAAGTTTGCCAGTCTGAACACTATCCTTAGAGGCAAATAAGAAATTTTAAATACAGAATAAATCCTTAGCTGGAGTGCACAATACATCATAAATTCTGATTTCAGTAGAAGAAAAAATAAAAATGAGCAGTATAAAATGCTAGGGGATTGCTTGGTTTTTATATATTTTTACATCACCTACCAAAATGTAGATTAAGCTTACCAGAATGGGACATCACAAACAAACCATGAAACCGGGCTTCAGTCTTGAAGTTGACAACCAAGCGCCCCTCGTCGCTGATTCGCATGCTGGTTGGGTACAGAGAACCTGCCAGCAGAAGCCAATCCATACAGATCATTTCACTTGCAGATGACAATTAAGTCCCAATTTTACTAATACAAACTCTTCCATTTACCCTTGTCTTATCTGCTATGTGGAAAGGGCCCTCCTGTTATTTTTGGGGTTGATTCAATGTTCTTCTCAAGCAACAAGTTACACAGAGGTGCCTAGAGTTTTCCTAGTGCTTCAGTCCTTCAAAGCACATACAGATCTTCTCTGCAAAGTCATGCTTTACATATATTATCAAGGATCCACACAGATGCTCTGCTAGACTGGGAGAAGCCCACAGCAGTTCTAGCATGAATCTATTCCAAAACACGGACTCCTAATTTCAGGTTACAAGGTTTGTTTATATGACAAAAGTGATATATTGCTGTAGCTTGCATCCAGGGTCTTTTTTTTTTCTCTTGAACTGTTCAAAGTTCCTAAATTTATAGCTATTTCCTTCACTGCTCCCTTACAAAGAGCCAGTGATGTGGCATGGTCCTGTGTGTAAGAGCAGGAAGAAAACAGTAATGCTCCTTCAGGGCTGCATTAGAAATCCAACACATTCACCAATGTGAATGTGTGCCAACTGTTTAAAATCACCTGAGCCAAATTCATATATTGGTCCCCTAGAAATTAAAGACCTTGATTCCTTTAAAATTTTACATAGAATTTGTGTAGGCCAATTTTAAGTAACCAGTGCTATGGAAATAATCTGAAAAGTAGACCTTCCCTGGTCAGAACAACAGCTGTCCCTTGTGCAAGGCATGGAAGGAATAATTTTTAACTCCATACTGCCTGAATCAGATCAGGATATGTTGGAGGTCTATCCTCCACTATATCACTATGCTTATCATGTGTTCCTGCTATTTTCAAAGGGAGCTGTTATTGTTCAGCACCTCCTGATGCTGGCCCTCAAGGGTTGAGAAAAAGAAAAAAAAAGGAGAAGAAGAGGGAGTTAAAAAAAAGGCATTAAAGTCAGTAAAATGGGGACATATATGAACTACACAACTGCTGAGACCCAGGATTAGCTTGGCTGTTATTCAGTGACTAGTATGTCAGATGATTCGTGGCATGTGGTTTATTCTTTATGCATGGCAGGGCATGTGCTTATCTTCTAACGCAGGGCAGACTCTCCTTGCCACTCCTCATTTTTTCCTCTTAACATAAGAACAGGAACAGTCTCACAGTGACTTCTGTAGTTCAGATACAGAGTTTTCAGAAATGAAAAATGCTTTTATATTCACACTGTAGTCCCAGGATTGTTAAGTATACATACATAATCACAGCTACCTCCTATATTTTCTATGTGCTTGGGACATACATGGAATTTCTGAAGATTAGTGCTAGGGACTACTAAGTAGATTCACATATATAAAACAAAGTGTCTTACAGCTTTAACTATACGTTTTAATCTTTCCTAAATATCTGTATGTCACAGGTTTTTTTAAACATGTCATCTTTTGGCAAAGAAAAATCCTATTTTTATACATATATAGATAAAATTATTATTTGTGATTGTAATTTGTATATAGGTAAAACTACATATTTATATATTATATACATGTATCTTTTACACTTAAAGAATATTTTACTTTTGCAGTTTACTACTCCAACACATGAGACTGATTATACGCGTTATATATTTCTGCTTCTTTTGAATTTTTCAAAATCAACATTTTTAAAATACCGCAAGTTTCTGAAATTGTACATTTATGGCAAGGAAAATAATAAAAATATCTCATAAAAGCTTCCTTTTTTCACTAAAATGGAAACAACCATCTTGTGTGACAACAGAATATTAATATATAATGTACACTGAGGTAATGTAAAAGAAAAAAGAAGGAATGCTTTAATTTTTGCATATATACTTGAAACCTAACAAGGTAGTTATCTTTTCTTGAAATAAAAGTACTGCTGTCAGCTTAACATGGTTTACATCAACACTCCAACAGAGAATTTTGAGTGCTCGGCAATGACAGGTTATTTGCAACTAGTAATAAATGATATAAAATCTTCTTGTAGTATTAGAATGACTGAAAAATCATCCTGCTGTGTGCAAACTACTCTTAGTAATGGAACAATGAGTAGATGCATGAAAACCCAACACCTACCTTGGAGCTCTGCTTCAGGTGGGCTCCCGATCCCATCCTTCCACAGGATGGCAGTGTCATACACAAAAGTCAGCCGGAGCTCGGACTGAAGGTCAAAATGCTGCCAGCCTCCTACACCCACCGGGGAGTGGAAGACATAAGAGACATACAAGGGGACTCTCAGGGTTACATAGGACTGTACGAGGTTGAGAACCTATAAAAAAAAGAAAATGGTTTTTTTAGGTTAGTGGCAACAAAAGGCAGAATTCTACAGCTAATCTTAATGTGAGAGAAAAACAAAACAGATCTTGAACTACTGCAACCGAATCAATTCTCCCATTTTCCAAATTACAGATGAAGAATAAAGCACCACTTTTCAATAGATTTCAGGTGATCTTACAACCTCTCAAGTTCCTTCTTTGTATTTCAAATGGAATATTCACTCTGGTACACAAAAACCATAAATTTTGACTCATTATTATGGTTTACATTATAAAGGGAGACTATTAGAAGTTTTTAAAAATATCCTTCTGCTTCTGTTCTTTCTCCCTTAACCAACTCTGTTGCTTACATTCTCACACTACTATCATGTAACAAGCTCTACAACATGACCCTGAATTTGCCCTGAGGTCATTGTAAGATGAAGTCCTTGGGTTGTACTTTCTCATCTCTAGAACTGTTTCTTTCTCTGTTCATGGATCCTATGTAACACACTGCATGCAAACGTACAAATCACACTATTTACCACAGTCTGGTGAGATTATTTAAATGCTTTTAAAGAGTATTTTGGACTATTAAAAAATAATAAACAAGAACATTTAAAGAACTTTGCAAGCTATTTTAAAGACATTGTTTGTAGATTCACCTAGTGATATGTCAAAAGAGCTGAATGTCGATTACCTTACAGCTGCTTTACCTTTTCAAATGCTAGACAAAACGTACTGGTAACATAAACCTACAAATTTAACAGTTACTCTCCCGCACTGACTGAATACTCTGAACCAATTAAGGACCTTGTTATGGCAAATATTTGTGGTTACAACATCTAACTTTCACACATGACACTCCTTGATCTATACATTATCCTACCAAAACATCTTCAAATCTTTTTGTCTTAATCATTACACAAACTACACAAATCACACACACACACACAAATAGTACTTAGATGCCAGAAAGTCTGGAAGCACGTGCAAAGGAAAATCTTTTTCTGTCCTTTTTTTTTTTTTTTTAAATAATCTTCCTATAGAGAGGAACCTTTAAAAATGTCGGTGTTTAAAATCAGAGAGCAACAAAAAGGCCATTTGAGTCAGTTGCATGTAGGATATTTTAACCAAACAATATTCCATTTTTTTTTAACTCCTGGGGCTAAAAAATGTGCCCTAGAAATCAATTTATAATTGAAAGATATTTTATATAGTACAAATTACTATAAGCAGTTATTCACAGACACCAAAATTTTCATTCAAGATCTCTGAAGTACCATGCAATAAGACCTCCTCACAAATAATAGGAGACACTGCAGTTACAGGTATTCTTATATTAATGCTTCTTAGTTGGTTTTATACAAACACAATCAAGAATTTTTCTCTGGAACAAACAAATAAAAATTAGTTTTCCTCCCTCTATGTACTGGATGACAAAACGATGTTACCCTGAACTATCATCCTCGGCCCAAATAAAGGAACACAAAGAGGGGCAAGTTTATCTTTGGGATACCTGCACTGGTACTTATGTGGTTACTTTAAACATGGACTTGCTAAATTGTTCCAAGTAACAACATGGAATGCTTAGTTCTAATATCACAAATACAAATGTGATGCAACTCCACAGTATATCCAGTTTTGCCTTTCATTCAAAAGCAATCTCGGGCATCTGTTATTTCCTGAAGTGGTATCATGGGCCAAATAAGTTTGCTTGCAAAACAAACATGCCAAACTATTGAAAAGTCACCCCAGACAAACTATGCTGCTTTTCTCCATGTGTTTTTGGTTTACATCTGCATGTTGTACACTAAGAATTAGATATTAAAGTAAAAGATATAAAATTCATTTTGCTTATGAGTAAAAGACAGAAAAAATGAAGAAAGATGGAAGAAGATGTAACATAAGATGTATTTCAATTATTCTACTGAAAAGAAACAAACATGTGATAGAGAAGTGTAGAGAAGTGCTGGAATATCAGATAAGGAGAATATAGTGACCTTGAGAACTAGAATAGAACTGAGATGAAATTTTTTGAGTATAAAGTACAAGGTAATAGAAACTGAATGACCAGAATTTCTGCTGGAAATGAAAGGCATTATTCAGCAACAATAGAGAAGGAAATAGATTTTGGTATGTGAGTCGATCACATCATAAATATGACCTTCCAACCTGTTTCATGTGCTATGATCCTAAGATAAACTAAGGAATGGAGTAGAAATTGGAAGCTTTCATGCCATCATACAGAGCACCAGTGAGAGATTTTCTGGAACAGCTTTGATCCCACAGTTAGACTGTGTATGGTGGCCTGGACACAGTGAAGAAAACCCCTCAAGTTCTGTATCTTGTGCCACTTCGGGTTTTTCACTGTTTTTCCAACCTTTTCTTGAACAGCAAGTATTTGGTATCATTCAGGTACACAGTATATAAGGCAATCCATTAATGGAGATTATAAGCAACATTTTAGGGTTATTTTGCCTCCATTCAACAGGGGCATATTTTTAGTGAGCTCAATCTATTTGTACCTACGGAAATCCAGCATTTGGGAATTCGTTCTGGGGAAAGCCTGTCTGAAACATTGCTACTTTGTCATACATTACTATCGCTCTGTGGGAAAATATGAAACCACAGAGCCAAAGAATTGTCTCCATTGCTGATACCCAAAAATGTAAAGGCTCTTCTCTCTTAGCAAAACCCATAACATATGTCTGGACAGTAGGGCTGCTTGCTCCACCCTGGAATTTTATTCATGTTCTTATGAATGTCTACGTGCTTTCATCACTGTAGCTGCTCTTATGTGTGGTTCATGGTATATAAGAACATGAAATATTTCTTGCTAGACGAACTGGTTTAATTTTAATGCACACAAGCCCTTTTTCAGGCATTCATTCAGAAGTGTGGAGAAAAATCTACAGTACTAAGTGCGAGTGGGATTAACTGAACCATTATCTGTTATATCCTAAGAGTAAATTAAAACTCATTTCTTGATGAAAAGTAGAACACGATGAGGAGAATATGACTCTTGAGATGGCAGAACCGGAATATCTCAAGATTTTGGAAATACAGAGGATCTTTTTGATATGATTAAAATATGAAGAAGACATTTACTGCAAAGGAAAACTGTTTCAGAGTAAGTGAGCAGAACCCTTCCCTGCAAATGAATCAATGGAATGTGTTATATGATGGAGAAGTTCTACTTCTCTGACCCTATTAATAATGCCATTTAGTTGAACATGTAAAAACATTCTTTCCATTGAGTTATCTTATTCTCCAGCACTGCCTACAAAGCATAATGAAAGTAGCCAGCTGTTCATATTTTATCTTGATGTGACACTGATGAAACCAAAATGGTAACTTAGAGCTATGTAAGTAGCAGGATCAGCTTAACTGTTAGAGAGAGACAGAACAGGTGCATTATGTATGTGTGCATTCAGTGTATAGGAGATTGTAGCAGCTGTATTAGTGAACCTTTATTCATTAGCATTGATTCCATACAATAAAAATAAAATTACTCAGTTGGTGTGACTTTCAGCCTTGTGATGCTAGAGAATACTGATCCTACAGCTGCACGAGAGCCTAAGCAAAAGGACTATGGAATTAGGAAAATTATTTAATATGCTATGACAATGTCATGTCTGGAGAGACCAAGCAGATGGAAAGCAAAAATTGTTCCAAGCAATGAATAGACTACTAAAATTAATACCTTAAAATATTGATAGAAAATCATTCAAATAGCTCATCACAAAAGTTGTTTGCATGAGGGAAGAATATGATTTATATCAAACTTCAGTTACGGCAGTAGAGGTTCACACACTTTTTTGTAAGATAAATTATTAGACCATAAGCCTATTATTGAACAATGACAATTCCCTTTTGAGACTTAGGAAACCTTGCTGGGGTTGGGTTACATGTGTTCTTTGTTTGTTTCCTTTTATAAGGCAACTGGCAAACTTCATCAAGTGAAACTAGTTTCATAACTAGTTTAAGAAGCTGTATAGAACAAAAAAACATATTTTCAGTTACGACCTTCAGCTGAACAGACCCTATTCTGCACTTATACTGAATTTATCTGGCTTAGATTTCTAAAGGGTAGAACTCTGACCAGGAAAATGGTCTTGTAACTTCAGAATGTGACCGGTAACAGAAAGGACAGTGTGTATGTTCGCATGTGTTTTCGGGCTCACATTGATAAAATATACTGATAAATACTGATAATACTGATAAAATCAGAACTAGAAATCCGAAATAACACAATTTCATGTTTGATACTGTATCTCTTAATGAACTCTGGCTTTCACGAGGACTGCAATTTTGTCCTCCAAATTATCCCAAGCCCGACTGTGTCTGTGGATGAGTCACACAACCTTAACAGTGTTGTCAGCTGTTTATACACAAACAATATGGGAAAGCTAAGATTTTCCCCTCAAAAGGCAGATGGTTAGGCAGGTCGAAAGTGAAATGCAAAGCAGGTTTGTTCAAAGAAATCAGAATGTAGGTGAGAATGCAATACAGTCTTGAAATGCCAACTCCTTGAAATGTTTAACTTTCAACTTTGTTACACAGTCAGTGTACATAATTTCACTATATATACATATATATATTTTCCTCTTAGCGCTTACTAAATTCATCTGTTTGCAGCTGGCGGAAGAAAAAAACCCACAAATGTTAGTAAGCTTCCATGCCAAAGGAATATGATTTGTAGGGTTTTCTTAAACTTGATTGTGACAGCTGACATGAACATAAAAATTTGAAAATAGAAACTTCTGTCCAACTGTACCATCTTGTGAGATTTCCAGAAAATCTGACTTTCCTCCATGAAATCTGACTTTATTAAAATTAGATTCGGTAAAGTTGGGAATATACTGTTTCTATATTAAAAGCATAACTCTATGAACTTCCTTGTATAAACTGAGGCAATACATTATTTGTTTTAAAATCTATTTTCATATGGGATTTCCAAACTCTTCAATGACATAGCATAGCATAAATAGGAACTGAACGTACTGGAAGAGACACATTTGCAGTTTGGGCCAGAAGTAACTTTGTGATAGGGTTAAAAAAAAACCCCTGCTCAGCTGTACTCAACTACAGTAACTATCAAGCTGTATGTTAAAATACTTCACTATATATTCTTCATCTTGTTGTTTCTGGCAAAGACTTGCTTAACTAGTTGTTGTTGAAAGACTGTTTGGTATTGTAAAATTCGTTTGAATGGCAATTTCCTTGGGTCTCTATGCCAAGTCTGGCAATGGACTGGAACGAAAGTAACTTCTACAGATAAATACTTGGCCAGAACCACACAGAATCCTTTAGATGCCAAACTTTCTAGAGAGAGTAAATAGTTACAACCATAGGAAATGAGATCAAATAACACTTCACACTCTACCAAATAAGTCTGGCCAACACTTCAATATATGCTTCATTAAAGGAAATCACTTACCAGTATTTTATTTTATTTTATTTTATTTTATTTTATTATTTTATTTTATTTCAAGAATATTTGCCATTTTCTTATCATCTCTGTCTGAGAATTCAAGATGCCTTTAGTACTTGACACTTACAATGTAAGGTCCAGACAGAAATCACAGCCTAACCTCTATCAATCAACTACCTCATAGGGAGGAATCTCTCATGTCGGTGACTTTCACTTGAATTTCAGGCTGAGTGTGGTGGTTGTGTAAAATAAAAATGCTGCTGATAATCACCAAGACTGACGTTAATTTTAACAAGAAAAAAGTTTAATCCAAATGATTTGGCTCAGTTTAGGGAGTTTATTTTTTAATATATGTTGCTTAAACTGCATGTTTAAATTTGTATTTAGATAAATAGATGCCTGATTTTTGAATATAGTGAAAAAGGGCAGATCCCAGGAGCTAAGCATCAGGCTATATACTTAAAAAAATTGCTGCCTGTAACTCACACAGGGTTTGCTCATGCACTGAGTAATTGAGAAAGACAATGGATCACATGTTAAAAAAAAAAGAAGGAAAACTAAAACCTTCTCTGAATGCCCTGAATGTATTATAGCAGTTCATGAGTTCATGGGAACAAGCTATAGCAGCTGCAGCAAACCCAAGGAGCACTGCCAGAGGAAATAACCAGCTGCAGGTCTGCCACCTCGCTTGTTCATTGAACCTCATCTCCTTCCCTTGCTATAGGAGGAAGGCTATAAAGTGAAGCTCCACATGGCCAGGCTCTTGCCACTTGCTTTTGTTGTGTCTCTCTGTTTGACCATAGAGGTACAGGAGAGCTACCATGGATGGGCAGAAATTTGCCTTAAAGTCAAAATCTCTGGTAAATTCAGATACCAAGCTAGTAAATTTGCAGTGAGAACAGAATGCGGTGAAGAAAGTTTTGGTTATTTCCTTATCTGTTCTGAGTATAAGGTAGATCTTAAGTTTCCTTTGTGTGCTAAAAAATGCGGGGAAAGCCCTAGCTGCCAGGTTTGCTCTCAGAGAGGAGGATTATTAATTGTTCACTGGAGGAGAGAAAACCAACAATGGTGACAACCACAGAGCCAGGGCAGTGACTGCCTCCCCTCTCAGCTGGAGGGGTCATGTGAAGATAAAGACCAAACTTGGAGAAGAATTAAAAGTAGGTGGAGGAAATAGGGAAGGCAGTGAAGCGCATACTGGCTGTGGGGCGATGCTTGCCTGCAAGAAGTAATTCAGCTTGATATTTCACTCAACAAGCTATAACCTTTTAGCCACATCCTCTGAGGCATTAAGGGATTACTTCAGCTGCAGGTCCTTGGCTCTCGTGGCTCATGTTCATCCCCTGGTTTTAAGAGGAGGATCTTACCTAAGATAAATAAAGCTTCTGGAGCTTAAAGCGAGTGAATCTCTGTTCCCAGGTCACTCTACCACTGTACGTTCCCCCACAAATCAATATATATATTTTTTTCATTCACTAAAATATGGGAATGCTTCTTATTTTCTCCTCTGCCATAACTATTTAGACATATGTAGGTTTTATCAGCCTCACATCTGTCTAAACACCTACTCAGCCTTTTGTCTTTTCTCTCTTTTTTTTTTCTTCACAAAAGAACTCAAAATGGGAAGGATTAGAAACATGTCTTCCTTCCTTACACTGTGGGAGAGGTGGCCTGCAGAGCTGACAGGACCAGCTGACAGCTTCTTGGCAGCTCTGTGTGCTTGAGATCGTGTCGTGTGGGAAACAAGAGTGTGCGGCCAAATACTGTATGTCTTCTTGGGCATAAAGAGATAACCAAAAGAACGATGAGTTGAAGAAATGAAATCATTCTGAGAACTGGGAAGACTGCTGTCATTTTTATCTCGTGGGAATGTGGAAGGTTTGCATCCCCCACTCGCAGGCCTCCCCTGCTCTGACAGGGTCATGGTTCCAGTGGAATGTACCTGTCGGAGGAGGTGCCTGCAGCAGAGAGGCAGGCCCGAGGAGATGC